ACTTCTCTATTAATTGTATTTTATTCTTTTGTTATTTCAGATAGCCAAATAAATATTATTAGTATATTCTTGGGCTGTTTTTCATATATACAGCTTGTAGATATGCTTTTAATCAGAAACTTGATTATTAAATAGACACTTTTAATGAGATGTATAATACTTGCTTTTGGGTTTTTATCAATAATTATAATTTTTGTAATATCATACTTTAAGATATTTTCAATTTGCTCTTTTGTAATAGCCAAATCATTATAAAAAAAAACAATAAAATATATGCCTGTGAAGCATCTTGGTACTTTTTTTCTCTTCATTGGTAAAAAGTAATTTGGTGTAGTTTACAACTAAAAGTTCATCTTCAGGAGCCTTGATCTGTCATGTATTTAACCTCTTTTGTATAGTAGATATTCTACCATATGTAATTCATGATCTCTTTCTATATGTGCAGAGAGATTCTTGATAATACTAGTAATCGAGTAAACCCCATTAACATGTGCTTCTTCTGCAGTAACATAGTTAGTGATCATGTATACATGTGTATTATGTTCTTTTTTGATGGGTTTGTACTGAACCTATAATTCCACATTGCTAGGTACCTTTTTCGTTTTTGGTTCAAAATTCAATACTGTGTTAAGAAATTTAACCTTTTCCAATTCCTCAGGGGTTGCGATTTCTTTGCTTTTATTCATATTTGGATTCCAAATATTAACAATATGGGACCCAAACGATAAACTCGGGCTCTTTTTATATCTACGTAACTCAAGTGTTGTGTAACTACAATATGAATTATTAGTTAAAATTCTATATATTGGTATTTTGTCTTTAGATTGACTATTATACATGGTGATGCTCTTTATATGCATTATAATTTAATATGGATACTGATGAATCATATCGTCAGAACTAGCGTTTATGGCGTCAATTACATTTATGTCTTTGTCTCTTAAGACTGAAGCGACACTAGCAGCACTAGCGACATAAGTGACCAAAGAGACAAACTTGTGACCTGTTCGATCATGTGGACAAAAGATAATATATATATATATGGATTTTTTTGAATTATGTTAAAGTCAGTAAGAAAAATGGTATTAATTTTTATTAATATATTTCCAGAGTCATAAATATCAATATGTTACAAGGAATAAGGAATATTAAAGACATTATACAATTGTAATCTAATAATTATTCGATCTACTTCGTATCAGGAGAGTATCATTTATATAGTTCTCTCTATCTTTTGGTTTGATACCCTTTCCGACAGTTACTAACTTCCATGTTGGTTCTTGACCTCCTCGGATGGTTATTAACTCTTCACATGGTTAGTAACCATTTAACAGTCCGAAACCAACGAGTGATCCCAAAAAAATTGAAGCAAAAAAGTAAATTCTAGTAATTAGTCAATTGACTCGATTATATAATAATCAATCATTGATCAAGTATAATGTTATAAATTCAATCAAAAATAAATCATTAATCGATCGTATTGATCGATTAAGGAATTATATTTTTTTGACCGATCAAGAAAAAATTAATAGAAAATTTTAAAATTTATGATCTAATCTGAAATATTACTATTTTAAAGGTAGAGTTAACTTAGTTTGCTATTCATTCTCTGAACTAACAAGACTCAATAAAAATTTTTATTAGCTATATGAATAGGTTAATACGCATCACTCTGGTTATATCAACACTCTCTAACAATGAAAAAATTGTCGATATACTGTATCCAGATGTCAGGTTAATAAGTATCTTTGCTATACTAACATTTTATTGATATTGCATAAATTTGTCAATTTAGCCAGAGATAAATTTTTTTGCTTTACTAAGTTTTACTAATAATTATGTTAAGAATAATAAATTCATTTTGTGCTATTATTTCAGTATTTGTTAATATAAATTATAAGCTTATGTTAAATGAATTCAAAAATTGGTTTGATTGCTACACCTATAATGACTGTCAGTTTATAAAAGTTAGTGATGAATAAGTTATAAAAGTCACTATATCTAGTGATGAATAATTAGCTTTAAGATTGTTAGCATGTTAGTATGATTAATGTCTTTTATGATTGTTGTTATAACCAATGAATTTTTAAAATGATAGATTTTTTTAAAAAAAATGCCAATATAAGTTAATCTAGCTGTCGACAGTGATGGTAAATGACCTGGTCATTTGCAAATTTTTCAAATGACCTCAAATAACTCCGAAATGACAGGACGCCTCAATTTTGGGTCATTTGGAATGACTCGTGACCAAATAACCATATAGAAATAACCGGGTCATTTGAGGGTCATTTAGCCATTAAGTCATGTGCATATCGATATAGAGTTTGTATCTCAGATCTAATTTTTTACGTATACGTAGCGGTAGTTTGATCAACGTTAACTGCATAACGATAATGCATATACTGTAGATTTCGATATAGGCTGGGTTGGGCTAGATATTTTTAGGATCGGGCCCAAGCCCAATAAAAATTTATATGCCTGACCCAACCCAGGAATGGTAAATGACTCGGTCGTTTAATTGAAATTAAATGACCCATATCATCAAATCATGACAAGAACATTTGAGTTATTAAGTTCATTTAGGTCATTTGCATATAAAATAATTTATTGGTAGAATTGCTCATATAAAAAGTTATCAACTCCTAATCGATACGTAATCATGGCTATATATTAAAGTCAAAATCTTACTATGTGTAAATTCTCGAAATAATGCCCTGGTAAAAATTACAAAATTTGGCCTAAATTAAGCTTAATTCGGGCCAAAACTCAAAATAACACCCATACCCGCTATTTTGAGAATTTACGGTAAGCCAATTAATATTTGTGTCTTATTGTACGGGTCTTATGTGACAACCCGTGCTTTTTTCCTATAATTTATTGCATATATTTTTCATGTAAATTGAAAAAACTTTTTATTAATTAAATTTTCATATAAATGTAAGTGAATATGTAATTTAATAGAAGTTCTTCAGTTTACATGAAAATTTTAGAATATATGCAATTTATTATTTTGTATCTATATACTATCTGGATATACTGTATCAGACAATTCTTTGTTTTTGAAGTGTCGATATAACCAGAGTGATATGTAACAAACTATTTTTTTGGCTAGTTAGATCTTCTATTTCAATAATTAATCCAATAATTGATCGAGCCAAAATTGATCGATTATACTCGATCAAGGGCTTATAATTGAATATTAATCGATCAATTAAAATTTTTTTTCAATCAATAATCGATTTATAATATTTTTGTCGAGTCAATTGACTACTAGTAATTTTCTATAACGTAAAGGAAGATGGAAATAAACATATATAGAATGTTGCTGAAACTATTTGACAATACTCACATATTTGATCCCGGAGGAAAGCATTCGTAAAAGAATTGAATAATGCCATGAATGTCAAACCTCTTTTTTGATCCATGTTCAATAACTTTATTATTAGCATATTCGCTGTTTCTCGATTTGATACAGGTAAATTAAATCAACTTCTCCGTCGTTTGTCGGATATTCCACCATTACTTAACTACTACCCTCCTTTTCTTATATTCCTTCTCTATCACTATCCATTTTACACGTTACGACTACCTATTACCATCATTTTTTTAACACCTTTATTTACACGCACTATTATTAATCCTTCAAACTGATTTCTCAATCACGTATCATTATTTCAAATTTATTACAACTGCACGTCGGTTTTCTTTGCCTGTTTATGGCGATCATGCCATAAAGGATTGAGGAATCCTAAAGTAAACAAATTTATGGAAATTTTTAAATTTAAAATGACGATATCTTTACAACCTGCCAATGAAGCTTAATAAATTTTTTATTTTATTTTAATTCTACTGGATTGTAGAATTGAAATAAAAAAATTTCATTGAACTCCATCAGGTGGTTGTCGAGATATCTTCGTTTAAAATTTTAAATAAGTTTGCAGCAACTTAAACGTTTTAAATCCTGACTCACCTTTTAAACGAAGATATCTCGACAACCATCTGATTGAATTTGATAAAAAATTTTTTTATTTTAATAATACAAACCAGTAGATTAAAAAAAAAAAGATCGAATTTCGTTAGATAGTTGTCGAGATATCTTCGTTTAAAAGTTGAGTCAAGAATTAAACCGCTATTATAAGTTGCGGCAAACTTTTTTAAACTTTAAACGAAGATATCTCGACAAACACCTGATGGAATTCAATGAAATTTTTTTTATGTTAATTCTACAATCCAGTAGAGTTAAAATAAAAAAATTTTTTTATTAAGCTTTGACGGGTTGCAAAGATATTGTCATTTTAAATTTAAAAAAATTTCCATAAAATTGTTTACTTAGGATTCTATTGGTCAATTGGATATTATACGTGTGATGATTGATATGCTCGGAACTTTTTTTTGACTTGGGCTTTTAGTTATTGCATTAAAGTAAATTCATCATAGAAAAGCTTTAACTCCAGATTTTTGTCAGTTAAGAGATACTTAATACCTTACAATATATGTATTAGCTAATCTGTGAAATGAAGTTCTAATAACCAAAAATTTTTAGTAGTGGAAGTAGGTTATTTGTCTTTGTTGCAATTGTTTTTACGTACAATCACACCAACAACAACATTATATCTCATTAAGGTCAGTAACAGATTGAATGATAATTTAATGGGTTAATGCATAAAAGATAATATATTAATATATTATACGTATCCTATATGCAGAATAGACCCTCAATAAATCGAAACAATCACAATTGTAATATGCTAAATAATTAATCGAACCAATCAAAATAAGGTAATCGAGTTAAATTTATTCTTTCGCCAATTAACTCATACAATATACTGATATAACAAAGTTAAAAAAAAATTTATTGCTTTTTACCATTGGATGTTTAAAGATAGAACTATCAAGTTTACTATTTTATAAAAATCCCACAAATATTTATCAACTTTCGAAACCTTTAAATAAGATGACAAAGATATAATTAGCATAAATTAGATTATAAACAGTAGTGATTAACTTTTTTTCAGGTAAAAAAGTATAAGGGAGGAAAAAAAATTTTTTTTTTTTTAGGGAGTTCAGACGTTAATATAGTAATTAACCAAAACTGTTAGTGAAACTTAGTTAATTGTTTTATAAAATTAGTAATTGTTCAAGAATAAAAAAAAGTGCATTAATATGTATTTAACAAATTTCGCGCCATTTAAGATGTTATTAAATATTTAGATACCCTGATATTTGTTAGAACGTGCATTTAATTAAAAATTTAATTGGTATAGTAGCACTAAATTTAATTTGTTGAAAAATAATAGGAATAGTAATAAAGTATATATAATAAATATAAAATAAGAATAGTTTAGTAATAATAATAGAATAATAAGAATAGTAATAATAGAAATAATAATAATAATAATAATAATAAAAATAAAATAAATTACCGAGAAACTTTCTTGGAAATGAGTTTAAAACTTTAAAAAAAAAAAAAACAAATAAAAATATATAATGACGTACGCGTTATATATTATTTATAAATGCCGATCAATTGTCAATATTATGTCAAAAACGTGTATAACGCGAGATACTGCGAGAATATATGCGTGATATACAGTAATGCCTACGTGTTAATGTAATTTTGACAGGATGTTCGTGCAATTGTTAGTGTAGATCAATATATAGCATATACAGCATATACTTGCAATAAATTACATATATTAATGTGATACTGGTACTAAAATTTTTATCCCTTTATGTAGAAATATGTATAAATTATATTTGAGTGACGTCAAAAGAATTTTTATTAAAACCTTTATAGACATTACTTGGTCGATATTGAATTTTAAAGAATGAAAATCCTTTGATAACTCGAACACAATTGATATTTAATTAAGACGAACTACAGTTCTAGAAACTTTATCAGCTCGACTTTCTTGTATATACAGTAAATTATGTAATATAAAAACCTAATAATTAATAATCAATGTATGAGAGTAACCCCTTGGTTTTGTTATTATCCAGCCTATGACGGATGACAAAAAGACGCATAATAATACTGCATGTCATGATAATTAATATTTATGTATATAGTGTATGTATTATACTGTATGTATGTACACGCATGATTTGCGCATGCTTTAGCTTTACCAAACACGAGAGACTAAATAATATACAATAGAAATTTTTAACGTTTTTTATTTGTAAAACAAAAAAAAAAAAAAGTTTTTTATAATTTAATTTATCTATATGGAAAAAATGAAAAAAAAATACGCCTGATTCGGAATTAATTTGTTGTGATTGTGATTTTGTACCGTAAATATTAAACAAAAAACCAACAACTAACCAACAACTTCATTAATAGTAACTTTAAAAATTTTGAAATTGGGAAAGATTGAGAAAAATTGGAAATTTTTTTTTAAAAAAAAATTGGCATATTAAATAATTTTGTAAACAAAGGAAAAACTTAGAATAAAATGAGCTTAATTAAAAAAGGATAAATACGAACAGTAAAAAAAAGACCAATTTTATGACGAAAAAAGATACGGTGGTAGATAATGTGAAAAATTAGGTCACACAAACCATTAACGAATATTCGAAAAGATACAAATTTTTTAGTAGTGAATAAATCGAAAGAACAAAACCTCTAATTCTATGTTCCCAACGAAATAAAAAGTACTGGGACGTTTGACTTGTTTTTTTTCTTTAGAGAAAAAATATAAAGTATTTAAAGTGTTTAAAGTAAATAATATGTCCAATAAAGGGTTTTTGCGATATCACACGAAACACTATCCGAATAGATAGAAAAAAAAAGAAAATAAAAAAGTTATACGTAAAATGCGTAGAATGTAGAATGTATCTTGCGTCAAGATGAAAGAAAGATTCGCGGATCAAAAAAACGCATGATCTTGTCGACGGGTGAAATTTTTAAGGACAACTATAGCAGTTCAAGATCAATAATTTTTTTGTGTTTTGTGAAGGAAAAAAAAAAAGAAACGATTCTATTTCATTTTTTTATACAATGACAATGTTCATTTTCAAAAAAATATGATATACAAATATATACAACATAATTGTTCCAAAATACTGTATTGTCTTTCTTTTTTTTTTTTTTTTTAAAAGTTCATAAATCAGGATCATCCTCTGATCCTTTCCTTAGACGCATCTTGGAAGATTGTTTATGCGTATGACCAATAAGCCTTTGGTTGATCCTGAAGCCAAGATTTTATTAGTTGGGAATAGGAAAGGATTCCAACATCCCGCGAGATGACGACGGGAAATAAATGTTGAGATGAAATGCGTTTGTTTAGAAGAATGAGAGGAACCGTTAAGACCAACGCTATCAAGTAGTCGCGGACGACATAATAAAGTTTCATCTCAAAGGATAACACAAACGACCTTCATAACTAAACGAAGATGTGTCTTTTTAGTCAATGATCAGAAAAAAAGTGACTCCTGGCAGGCAAAAGATTCAAAATGTCAGAGGCTTATATATTAAAATGCCCTGATTATAGAGATTACAGATTTTTTTTTTTACATTTTTTTATTAGCATCTGTAAAAGGTAAACAAAGCAAGCACGACAAAGACCAATAGTAGAATGATTGCACCGCTTGTAGCCACTATCGACCCCGCGTTAAAATGTCTGATTTCGTGGCACAATCAACATAGATTATTGATGCCCCCACTTTTGTGTTTTTGGTCACCTGCAATGCATTCCAAGACCCTTGCAGTTGATGTTTAATAAATTTATAATTGGCGGACCAATATTTTGGCCCTTTTACATTTACTTACATTTTAAAGGCGCCAAAGACGATTTAGTTGAAGTAGTCTGATAATTTGTGTCTTCTATAGGCATCAAAGGAAAGTAAAATAAGTTCATAAAGTATTAGTTTATAACTAAAAAGAAAAGAAAAGAAAAAAAAAAAAAAAAAAAAAAAAAAAAAGGAAAATAAAATAAAATGAAGGTTTATATTATTTTGATCGGTAGTCATGAATATAACTTTCATGTTTAAACGTAAACGTAATGAACAAAAAAAATTTTTTCCTGCCTCTAGAGATTCCCACGTTAAAAGAAATTAAAAAAATGATGATCATTTAATTATTCTCTAAATAATTTGTCATCAGATCTACAATGATATTTAATGTCAAGAATAAAATTAAAATTCATTTAATATTAGGAAAAAAAAAAAAATAAATAAAAATTTTTTTTTAATATAAAGAATCACGCAATCCGAAAATACAATTTGTTTGTTTTGTTTATCCTAATCGCAGTGGTCGCGCCCACACCAAAATTGCATACTATTGATATTTCCCGAATCTTTCTGTTAAGTATATTTTCTAGAAAATCAACAGATTCGGCGTGAATGAAAAAAAAAAAAATTTACCGATAAAATTCGATAAAAATATGTAGTACAAAAACTAAATATACAGTATATATTTTTTTTTTTAATAGGAAATCGATATGGATACCTATTCTGCTATACAAGACATTATTACGCCTTGTGCATTTCACGTGATTAAGCAAAGCTTAACAGTTATCGTTATATGAAAACTCACGTGAAAAGACACATCATCGGCGTATTGTAAACAAAATTTCAAGGGCGCCGTTGGGAAATTCAAGATTTTTTGTATAAGATTTTGTATCACGAATGTAACCATGAATGAAAAATAATAATTTTGATTGGCTCGATAATACATGAAAAAAACTTAAAATTGATTGGTTGTCATTATATGTCGAATAAATGACATTTTATTGTTCTATGCGTGGCGTGTAACTTTGTTGATTTTAAATCGTTTCACAAAATTTCGAAAGAAACAACAATAACAATGGGACCAGTTAATAAAAAATGATTACTTATATACTTTATTTTAATACCGATTGTCGATTGTGAACATATTAAAATTAAAATTGTCACGTAAACATATTTGTGTGTGTGTCTTTGTCTGATGTTTAGATCGAAAGATATTCGCTTAGCAGTTTATACCTAGCATGAAAATTTAACCATGTATGCTAGACAAGGTTAGCTAAAATAACTTAAAAGATTGATATATACAATAATCGAGATCAAAAAAAAAGAATGATATCATCCTTACGTAAAAAATTGCGCCAAAGATCCATTATTTTTACATGTATGTACATCATACATCATTTAAGTATGTTTGGTGTAAAGAAAACGTTCCAATTATAAAGCAGATGGAGTTCGCACGTGATTTATGGCGTGCACGAACTTTTGTTTTACGTAAAGATCTTCAGGAGAATGGCATTTTATGTTGCATATAAATCTTCGATAATGGTCAATGTTCCTCCACACAAAAGCAAATCTTAAAAGCCATCACCCCCTTTTCTCCTCGACGAACGCCAAGACCACACGTTGGAATGTTATTAATTTTAATAATTTGATTACTTTGTGGTCCAAATAATTGTTTTAAAGAAACTACCATTTTCTTATTGACATTACTCGATGCATTATGAATTGTCTGAAATAGAAATTTGGATACTTTTTCAGGGGTCATGGGTTTTTGAAATCTGATTTTTTTAGATAACGTGACTAGTTTCTTTGTGTGCCTTATGACTAAAGATTTGTTTGTGTACAACTATCGCTATATAACTGTTGTGAAAATATTTTGTAAATAGATGTGAAAATATTTTGGTTTGTAAATAGAAAAATCAATAATGAAATAATGCTTACCTGCACTTTATTATTTATTATCGGATTTATTAAATTTGATTTATTAAATTTTTTGGTTTATTATATATCGTAATATACATAAATATATATATACGTATAAATATATATTATATAAATATATATAAATATATACGTATACGTATAATATATATATGTATATATGTATATATATATGTATATATATATCAATGATATATATATATATATATATATATATATATATATATCATTGATATTTAATAATTAAAAAAAAATTTTCAATTTAAAAATTTCATCGATTTAATACTCGGTTGCGTTAAGATTTAACGTTGAACTAAATACATGATGCTTTTGTTCTTTAGAATTCCCACAGGTGTAATATGACATAAACAATCATCTTCATCTTGAAATTGTAAGGGCTGTCGGGCCTACGTGGAATACGCGTCTTTCAATTGCTTTATGATAGGATTGCATCTCGGCGAAATTTACCAACGCAGATCTCTACAAATAATCAAATTTTTTAATTCTATTTTATTTTATTATTTTGTATTTATTTATATTTAGATTTATTTTAGGTTTATTTTAGATTTATTTTTTTTTCCTTTTTCTTTTTTTCTTTGTTTTTTTTTTTTTTTTTTTTTTTTTTTTTTTTTTTTTTGTATTACAATAAAATGCCGACCCCATTTACTAAGTACCGAAAATTTTTTTAGGTACTATATTTCAGACCCTATGGAAGTGATTATCTTCACAAAAATATTCAACTTACGTGGTATTCCCAAACTGTTAATCCCAACACTTTTCCAAATTCTCTTTCGAGTGTTGCTCTTAAGGATTCTTGTGAAAGTGAACGTGGTATATTGGAAATAAATGCTGCTGGTACCATTGGCTTGTAACTTTTTGTAGGGGGTGGAACTGGACAAATTAATTTTTAACTTTTAAATAAATAAATGATAAATTTTTGTTCCTCCATTCATTATTTATTTTTCATTACTTTTCATTATTTTTCATTACTTTTCATTATTTTTCATTATTATTCATTATTTTTCATTACTTTTCATTATTTTTCATTACTTTTCATTATTTTTCATTACTTTTCATTATTTTTCATTATTTCATCAGTCGTACAGTTTTACCTTGAAGTGCTTTTGATGTACCCCGCAATAGTTCATCAATATCATTATTGTCGTCCACAGAGATAATGTCATCATTTTGAGAAACATGTTTCATAAAATCTTCCGTTTCACTTCGGTTTTGAGTTTCGTATGTTCGAATGTTCCGAATATCTTGTTGTGTTAGGCGAATCTTTTCTTGAACTAATATATCTTCTTCTTCAATATCGGCGAGTTGTTGTATTTTTTGTTGCACAAGTTTTTCGTATCTTTTAAGTGTGATACTATGGATCTCACAATTATTGCACCACTCAGATGGTGTCGTA